GGATATAATAGTGATAACTACTTTATTTTATCATGTAATCCTTGTGAAGCCATGGTTTTGAATTCGGATAAACAGGTTATGATAGGTAGTCACTTTTATTGTTTACAAGAATATTACGTCACGGCACAGATAATTAGTAGACCATCAAGGCGGACGGCGTTTATGACTGCATAGCGAAAATATATTTGTAAATTTAAAGTTTTTTAGGATAGGTGTTTCAAAAAATATATATATTTTTTTATGGCGTAATATAATCGTAATGAACCGTTCTATGAAATAATAAAAATATTTACTTTCAGATGAATATTGTTCGTCACCACATCGTTTACAACGTAAGTACATTTTTATACACTTATCGCCTGAAGAAAAGTTTTTTCACAGTAAATATTGCATAGTGCATTTATTCGTAGGTTTTCTCGTTAAGGATTTTAGTAGAATTTCATATTGTAGAAGTAATGAAAACAATTAAAAGAACAACCTTCAATGATCGTTTGGTTTAGTTTATGCCAACACAAAAGGCAGAGGTTCTTGAGGATTTATGCTTTTTATGCATTTAACATTTCTTCGTGCTTGTCACACTTTTAATTAAATTTTAATACCTTATCGAATTAATCTTTTGAAAATTCATGAAAAATAATTTTCTGGCCAAATTTTCCATAACTGATGTTATTTATTTAATCCACGTTTACCATTAAATATTGGACACATTCAACTATCCTTACTAATATTATAAATGCGGAAGTAGCTCTGTCTGCCTGTCTGTCTGTTACGCTTCCACGCCTAAACCACAGAACTGATTTTAATGAAATTGGGTACAGAGATGAAGTTGACCTTGAGAAAGAACATAGTATAGTTTTTATCCCAGACTTTTGAAAGGTTCTCTTGTAAACGCGATATAACCGAACTCCACGCGGGCGAATCTGCGGGCGGAAGCTAGTCTTCATATATTTCTGTCGCAACAAAAATTCTTTCATATCAATCGTTTTTCAGTTATAGTAATCATTTATTGCACCACGCTTTATAATGTTACATTTTATTTTAATATCAACATAACATTTAACTATAAAATTTTAATCTAGTATATAATTGTATTAGTTTCGAGAATTCGATGATATTTCACCTAGTTTGTGTGCTTAATAGGACAGGGTATTGAAATTAATTACTACTTTCGGGGAAGGTGATCAAAACATGCAAAACCAAGTGATTCTACGAGCTTTGCACACTTAGTGAATGGAATTGTGATCATCATTTGTTTCAATAGCTAATGTCGATGAATTACTAGTATTCAGTTAATCTGGAGTATTATTACCTTCAGTCTTTGTTACTTTTTTAATTTACTTTAGATTTACGGGTTTAAGCATTCTAACTGAATTTAAAAAGAAAGTCGGCTGATAAAGTGCAGATGACTCAATACATCTTTTTGTATCCTTTTCCGACATTTCACTATTTTTCATTGAAATATATATTTACAAAAATTTGTTTGTGATTAAATGAAAATTGGTAATACTATTATAAAATATTTATCTTAATATTATGTATATCCAATTGTTTTTAATTGTAGAAGTCTGTTCTTCATAACTATGTATATTCGCTGTCTCTGTTATGCTCGTTTATTATTTAAAGAATCCGAAATTATGAAACTACTGAAAAATTTTGCTAAATAAGAATATCACCCACAGCTATAATTATTTCATATTTTATATCTTAATCAATAATCAGTATAATCTATAAAAATAATATAATTTCTTTCAAATATTTTATTTTAATTTATTGATTATAAATTTCAAATAAATAATGCTGAGGTTGCATAAAATATTGTATTGCTACAAATAAAAGATTAGTGCAATAATTATGGAAACGTTTGAAATATTTTAGGGTTAAATTCAGAGACAATCTTTTATAAACATTAGAATTTTGTAAAAATCTGTGAATAATATTTTTTACTTCAACATATTGCTTTATTAAAATATAGTTCCAATAAATAGATCAAAAGCCTACAACGAAGAGTGTATGTTTTTCAAATAGATAGCCACTACCTGTAAAAAGATTTTATAATTTATAAACCATGGCAAAATACGAGGATACATTTAATTAGCTGGAAATCTCCTTTTCTTTTGTTATTTCCAATACTCATCAATTGAAATATTCTAAAAAATCAAACAGGAGTTGATTGATGTCAAAACGGCTCACTTTTCTCCTCGCCGTGTTTCAGTTTAGCACCTAAAACTTCTCCCTTAAAAATCGTTTCATCAACTCTCCCAAATAATCGGTTTACATGAATCTCATACAGTAGACAGCGGATAAAGTCTTGGCACTGTTTACTACAACAACACATAACGACACAACAACAGTTACACACTTTCGAAATATATAGGTATTAATATTAGTTTTATAGTCCAGTCAAAATAGACATATGACTAAGGAAAAATTCGCATAGAGCTGAAAATTGCCAGAGACTTTAAATACATCATTATAAATGAAATATCAAAAATCCCCTTCGATACTACTTCTGCAAAAAAAAATTATTCAAGGTCAAAAGTATAAAATTAAGGTTTTTTCCATTTTTCTCGAAAACAGTAAGTATTATCGTGAAAATAGGTCAGACAAAAGTTGTAGATCATACAATTCTCTACAAAAATGGTCTAGTCATTTTTTCTCTTACAACTCACCATTCATGAGATATCGCGGTTTTAATCATTAGAAAATTCATATTTTACATAATAACACACATTTCCGCACCACCTATGGGTATACACACACGATCTTATGTAATAAAGAAAGTTTGATCAAATCGTATCCTCTTAATTTAAAGAATAGTAATATTGCTAATGATTAAAGTGGAATAGGTTGTTTTTATTTTGTTGTCATCATTATATAAGATAATTGTCTATTTCTACGTCAACAATTATTTCTTCGTCTAATGACACTTTCTTGGGTATTTCTCCCTCGAGCAACACCTCCATCTGTTTTCATACACTTCATCATTGATTGTTCAATCACCATATCCGTCGAAATTCCACAATTTAATTTATCAGAACGTCTAATAGTGAAAAATCCTTCAATAAACCTGTGATAAACACTAGGGTCTATCAAGTTCTCTAATTGCATCATGTAGATATAAATGCGCAGATTTGGCATAATTAAGATGTCCTGACGCATGAAGATAAGGAAACATTTCTTTAACGCAATTCAAATGAGCTCGTCAATCACCCACACGTTCAGCTCTTATGAATTCCTTTGCAATAGACACCATGTGGGTTTCTGTAGGTCCTCGTTCTCCGTGCTCCGGTAGATTTTCATTAAACTGATAAAGTATTGCTTCAGCTATTTCATCGCCTTGTTCAATATCATTATAGGAAATAGTTTTATTTATTATAAGTTCAATTGTATTTGTAAGGTTTTCATCCATCTCACTATCGAGAACAAGCTCTTTGGATATTATTGTTGCTAAAGTAAGATGTAGCAAGGTATGAGCTCGAACAGCTCTCGCGTAAGCATGACCATTGAGCATTTTTTCTAATGAATTAGGTGCATAGATCAGAGAAAGTACTTCTTCTATACCACTTCCTTGCATAATACATACATCCAATCGCTCCAAAAAAAGACATGAGTAAATGAAAACCACCAAGTCTTACTATGATCTTCGATAAATCAGATCCTTCAACCGACGAAGGGAATTAGGGACTGACATTATAGTCTTATATTTTAAAATCCTCATTTAATTTATACAAGTTTTATTGTGTAAGTAACACAAACGAATAGTTTCTTATTTTCATTTATATTGAACGTCCGGTGACGTATACAAGCTGCATTTTAGTGCACATTATGTAAAACTATGAATTTTCTAATGATAAAACCGCAATATCTCACGAATGGTGAGTCGTAAAAGAAAAAGTGACTGGACCATATTTGTAGAGAATTGTATGATCTACAACTTTTGTCTGACCTATTTTTACATTAATACTTACTGTTTTCGAGAAAAATGGAAAAAACCTTAATTTTATACTTTTGACCTTGAATAATTTTTTTTTGCAGAAGTGAGATCGAAGGGGATTTTTGATATTTCATTTATAATGATGTATTTAACGTCTGTGGCAATTGTCAGCTCTATGCGAATTTTTCCTAAGTTATGACTAATTTTTGTCTATTTTGACTGGATTAAATTTGAAATGGAGTCGGTAAAATTTTATCACGAAACGAACTTGTGGCTTGCTGAGGCTTCATCCAATACAATTAAGAAGTTTTAATTGATAAACAAGTTTTATTGGTAAATTTATATTAATTTAAATCAAAAGAATCCTGTGTTGTTACAAAAAAGCAATAGTATGCTCTATAATTTAGAAGATGAACCGTTCTTTCTTCTACGTTTATGAGATGTAATATCGTTTTATGAAGTGAATGAAGTGAACATACATATACTGTTATCGCAGAAAATTTAAGAAGTGTTATATTTAAAACTACTAGCTAGAGACCTTAATTATCTCGGCTGCATGATTTTTAACCACAATTGATAATGATGAACGAACCGATATGTCAGACTTCACTGCAACTAAAACGCCACCACCCATACTATCACTGCGCTTATCATAGTTACGATCATGTCGATACACCGAATATCTGGAATCAAAAAGTTCTTCACTAAAAATACCCTCACAAACAATATCATAATCAACATTAATTATTTTCCTGAAAAAGGAATTAGTCTTAGTACGTAAGCCGCGTACATTTTGATATAAAATTGCAAAGTTTTTAATCACTGTAAACACAAGGAATAATTATCATGTTACTAGTCCTTATAAATACATTCGCAGGAGAGAGCATATTTAGGTATGTGTTAGATATTAATACCAATAATTTTTTATGTCCAAAATCGTGTCCAAAATAGTAACATAAAATAATCTGACGTCCCATAGCTGTGCTCAAAATACTTGATTCCAATAACATAATTATTAACATAAATAAAACAATATAAAATATTTGAGAAAGACATACAAAGCTACTTATACAATTTTTTTTAAATCACTAGACTTCACGAAATGCAAAACCGGACTCGTGTTAGAACGCCGGGCCATAATGCTGCAGTTTTTGACCCACACGAACTCATAACCTTTATCTTTTGCCGCTTTCTTAACAGATTGCAATAAGGCTTTATTTAGACTAGTGAGGTGGTCATTAAAAAATATTGAATTATTGTTACCATTGAAGCCTATATCACAACATTTCAGTTTTAGTTTCCTAACCGCAGACAAAAATTCATCCTTTTTCCATCTACATATAAAACGCACGATAATCAGTTTAGATTTCTTCACATCGTTTTTTTTAGAAGCGACTCTGGTGATGAAGTCAATATCCGTGTTTATATTAAATTGTAAGTGTGTTTTATCAAAAACTGTTTGTAACAACGAGATCAGGTTCTCATTTTTTCTTTCTGGAATTCCATAAACCTCAACATTAGATTTTCGGGCCCACTGTTCTCGGTTATTATTATTAAATTCAATTTCTTCCACAGAACTGCACAGCTTACCGATTTCCATACATTTTTGAGTTAAAACATTCATTTCACCTTCACAGCATTCAATTCGTTTATTAATTTCATCAAATTTTGAATTTATAAAATCCAAACTTACTTTTATTATTTCAAATTCTTTTTTAAATGTTTTTAACTCTTCTTGAATGGGATACATAGAAGTTTTAAAATCACCTTTTAAACTGGCTAATTCTTCTGAGATTATAGATCTAATCAATACAATAAAAGATGTTTTATCAGCAGAATCCAAAACAAAATCCTCATATATACCAGAAGCAGCACCTCTACGCGAGTTTACATTACTTTCATTGGTCTGCACTCGCACTGGTGTACTGTCGTTTCTCGCAGTTCTGGGTTGATTTATTGTGCATTCAGGACAAATCCAGTGTTTTTTTAATTCCAGTGATAATTCTTTACGTTTATCGGTTGGGTGTAGGCATCTAAAGTGATAATTATGACCACACTTTGTACACAACAAGCAGTCACTAGCGACACCTGTCGTCAAATTGCAGCAAGCAAACTTCATTTTAACTTGTCTTACAAATAAGGCGCTCAGAAAATTATTATAATTATTTAAAAACGCATATCGCGGTTCCGGTGGGGTTTGAACTCGGAATCGTCGCGGTAAGTAAGGAAATCAAAAAGCAAGCGTACTATACATTGGACCAAACAAACTTTAAATTATTGTCTCGAAACTAGGCTACTTATAATAATTAAGGCGAAGCATAAAGCCAGGTAGCACATTAAGTTCTTTTGTTCTTCAACGGTCACACTAAAGGTCACTGCAAGGGCGTAGGTCACACTAAAGGTCACTGCGTATTAACTAAATGAAATCACCACTAAAACTGTGAAATAAAACACTCACATATAGGAATACTTGTTAAGATGCAGTTCAAACAAAACTGTACGTCAGGTATTATTATATTAACACTATTTATGCGATTATAAGACGGACTAATTTAACAACGTGTGTGCTCGCGTATGTAACAACTGAGACTGAATATTTATTATATAAATAAATTTTAGTTATTTATTATATAAGTTATTGTGGCATTACTGTGGCAGCAATCACACTCTCCTGAAGACAGACTAGAGTACATAGCAGCGAAACGTGCCAGTAAAAGGGCTGTTGCCAGAGCCCGCAGTGACAGGTTATCACCGTTATATGATACACTTGAAACTGCGGAGGGGCAGAAGCTCATTTACAAATTGGCCCGAGCTCGGGATAAAGCGACGCAAGATATCGCAAAATGTCTTTGCGTCAAAGATTCCCAGGGCACGCTGCTGTGTAATCATGCCTCTGTGAAGGAGAGATGGAGATGCTACTTCAAGGAGTTGCTAAATACTCAGCACCCGTGCAGTCTTCCTACCGAACCACCTCCTAATCTTGGACTTATTGCCCCAATAACACCTGATGAAACTCGGAATTGTCTTCGACGCATGAAGAATCGGAAAGCGGTGGGACCTGACGATATTCCGATCGAAGCGTGGAAATCATTGGGCTCTCTTGGTGTGCTCATACTGACGGACCTTTTCAACCGCATCTTGAACACTGGGACTATGCCACATCAGTGGCGTTATAGCTTCATTACCCCCATTTACAAAGGCAGGGGCAGTGTTCAAGATTGCGGTAGTTATAGAGGCGTTAAGATCATGAGTCACACCATGAAGCTCTTTGAGCGCATGATCGACCTCAGGCTCCGCCGAGAGTGTACTGTCTCGGAGTGTCAATATGGATTTCAGCCTGGATCGGGCACCTTGGACGCCATTTTTGCCATCAGAACCCTGATGGAGGCATACAGGGAAAAAAGGAGAGCTCTGCATGTCGCATTCCTAGATCTGCAGAAGGCCTTTGACTGCGTGCCTCGTCAATGTATCTGGTGGGCTTTGCGAACCAAAGGGATCCCTGAGGCCTATATTGACATCATCAGAGACATGTACCGTGATTCCGTTTCCATGGTTAGGACTGCTGTTGGCGATACAAAACCCTTCCCGATCTCAGTAGGGGTGCACCAAGGCTCGGCTCTTAGCCCGTTCTTATTCAATGTAGTGCTGGACACCGTCTCGGCTAACATCCAGGACCAGCCTCCATGGCTGATGATGTATGCCGATGACATAGCGCTCATTGACGAGGACCGGCTGACGCTGGAGCGGAGAGTGAACCTTTGGAAGGGTGCGCTTGAGAACGGTGGTCTTAAACTAAATGTGTCGAAGACCGAGTACATGGCTTGCGGGAGCCCGGACTCTTGCACCATCCATATAGGTCCTGAACCAGCCGTTAAGTCGGAGAAGTTCAGGTATCTTGGATCAATTCTGCATGAGTCCGGAGGCATCGATCACGATGTCCAAGCCCGGATCAGCGCTGCTTGGGCGAAATGGCGTGAGGTCACAGGTGTGGTCTGCGACCGCAGAATACCGCCCAAGCTCAAGGGACTAATATATAAGAGCATAATCCGACCGGTTCTCTTATATGGCAGCGAATGTTGGCCAGTACTGTCCAGGCACACTCAAGAGCTTCACGTCACGGAGATGAAGATGCTGAGGTGGATGTGTGGCGTTACGCGGGCCGACCGCATACGTAACACATTCATCCGAGGTAGTCTTGGAGTCCGTGACGTAGCGGATAAGCTTGAAGAGAGTCGCCTGAGATGGTATGGCCACGTTGCACGCCGGCCTGAGAACTACGTCGGAAGGATTTGCCTTGATATGTGTGTCCCTGGAGCGAGACCCCCAGGACGCCCAAAGAAGCGATGGCTGGACATCGTGAAGCAGGACATGAGAGCCAATGGATTAACCACCGAGGATGCCCAAGATCGTGCAAAGTGGAGGCGTTTGTGTGGGAAGGCAGACCCTGGCTAAATCTGGGAAATTGCCAGGAAGAAGAAGAAGAAGAAGATTATATAAGTTATTTATTATATAAATAAATTTTAGTCACCTTATTACGATATTATTATATTTGGATATGAAAATGTACTATCATCTTAATTAATAAATGAGAATTGCTTCGTTTCCTTTTTTAGGTCAGATCATACATAATAAATACAAGATTATTTTTAGAAAGTTTACGCAACACTTGTAGAAAATATTTTCTGATATATTTTCGTGTTCAAATATGTATCTACTAATACAATATTTGGCAAAGCAGATTGAAAACCGCACTTCAGCAAAACTTATTAGATTGTTTTGATTGGTAATCTCTATTAATTATACATAACAATGTATAACCTGTTTAGATTAGATCGATCTCTAACCGTAAGATTGAGAATTTTCAATCAAGACTATAACTTCTGACCCTCAGTATCAAGTTATTGACGTCAAGAAGCTGTAATAACTGGTCTAGAATCTCAAATTAAGTTAGGCTCGAGGTGAACTACATCGTCGCTTCTTCTCATGTTAAACTGCGTTGTCTTAAATGTTTTATTCAATCTCTTATAATACAGGAACGTTTCACCACTAGATGATATTCATAAGATACATTTATGCAACATAAATCTGTGTTCGCAGCTTGCAACAAATTATTTTAAAGCTTAATTTGTTTTGTATAAAGTGCAATTTAAATCCATTAAGCTATTCCAGCTAAAAGCGATGACAAGGTATTTATTTTGTACAAATAAATTATAACAAGAATGTGATGTAGTTTTGAGAGTAATTTTATTTAACAACAGCTTAAGTATTGCTTCGTTGTCCTAGAAGTAAATCATGATACCTACTCATTTTGCGTAAAAAGTTTTTAAAAAGAAATTTAAAAAATAAAAAGAAACTGAATCTTATTGTAGTATTGTAATTGTCTTAAAAAAGAATTTCATCAATGGTTTGTCTCTTATTAAGTAAAAAAAAATATTTTTTTATATTTATAAGTCGGATTCAGAAGTAAACTTAATTATTTCACCTTAATGCACCAATGCTCAGTCAAAATACGTGAAACTCGTCATTCGGAAAAGGGGTCTTCTCTCGCGGGACGTCAAAATGAGTTGCTAATAATAAATATAAAACGAGACGTAATATTTAAGAGTTTAAAATTTCATTTTGAACTCAATTATATTCCTAATGCAAAATATTTTTACTTTAGGCCTGAAGACAGTGGGCAGTACAGATGTCGTGTGGATTAAATTTCGAAAATAAGAACGATCCGAAGCTCTGGTATAAACCGCTGATTACATTGGTTCAGTGAAACTACTAATCGCTTTGTTTTATTCATTTCTCTTCCAATGTCATTTGCCAGATGAATATTTAATTTCGTATTGCCCAAGGCTTAAATTTCAATAAACATTTTCTAACAGAAAATAATTCATCTTAGAAACATTATAATTTGTGTGCAAACAAAGACATCTCATTTTCAGACAGTTGATTGGCCTTCTAATTGATTTTGAAGATATTGCTACATCTAAATTGCTTTTGAAACGAAACAAACGTTTGAAATGTTCAGAAATTGGATACTTCATAGAATTTTGTTTTAATTCTAATTAAATTAATTCATTATGAATTCCATTTACAATTTTGATTATATAAGAATATATAATCTGTACTAATATTATAAAGCTGAAGAGTTTGTTTGTTTGTTTGTTTGTTTGTTTGTTTGTTTGAAAGCGCTAATCTCCGAAACTACTGGTTCGAATTGAATAATTCTTTTTGTGTTGGATAGTCCAGTTATCGAGGAAGGCTGTGGGCTATATAACATCACGCTACGACCAATAGGAGCAAAGATATAGTGGTAAATGTGTAAAAAACGGGAGAAATTATTTCATCATTGAAGCCTTCCGTTGCGTGCGCCGTGAAAACGGATCAAGATACACAAAAAATATGTATCAAAGAATAATAGCTCTTTTAATGATGTAAAAAATAGTCCGCGACAGTATATGTCTATCTTTTAAGATTAACTCACAAAAACCTTTTTTTTGGTACCTAATTTTGTCGAAATAATTTGATTAAGTTGCATCAACATAATAAAATTAATCTTTATTCAAATAAACAAATTAATATATTGTTGGTTAAGGGTACTTCATTATCAATTAAAAAAAACATAGGTTTTATCCTGAAAATTCTACGGGAACTCGACCATTCCGAAAACCCCGCTAGAACGGGAACTATGTGGGAAGAACCAAAAATCTGTCGGAAGTCACTATTCCACGCGCACGAAGCCGCGGCAAAAGCTAGTTTATTTATAAATGTATGCTTAAAGTAATCCTATATTGTATAGTAATACAGTCAAATTTTCAATGACGTATCCTGATAACCAAGTTGGAAAAGCCTTACAAGTTTCTCGTAATCTGAATTTTCTTTATAAATTATTTGAAAGCGCATCAGAATCTCAAAGTTCACAGCTATATTTGATCCGCAGTACCACCGGAACGTTTAATTATTCTAAATCAAGAAGGTGATGAGATCAAAGGCGGAGTACTCGGTCCATATGATGAGGGGACTGAAGTCAATCTAACATGCGTTGCCGTTGGAGGTGAGTAACTTTGATAGATACTGTGGATCAGTTGCCTCACTGGCGATTTGTGTTCGATATGTTAAATCTCAATT